GGGGGGGGGGCGGATGGGCGGATACGGGGCGGAAAACATGACATATACATCAGTAGTTTCATGTGAAAATGTGAAATAAATTCTCGTTCATTTTTGGGAAATACCAAAAATGATCATACAGTGCAATGGCTTAAATGAAACGGATGGAGCAAGGCAAAGGTAGGTAGTATATAGGACCCCGTAAATCAGTGGAATCACGATATATAGTGGAATGAAAACGTGAAATACGTCAGTAGCATTACTACAGAACAAGTCGTGAACTTTTTAAAGCTGGTCTAACACCCAATTCCGCAGTCATGCTCATTCGTATACACATTCGTACATTCGTGATCTCATCTCTTCATTCGCCCTTGATATTGCTTGGCGTGCTCTTCTTCTGAGCCCCTTTCAACCCATTCACCCTACCATATAACCACTGCAACATCCCCGTACTGATAGTCATCGTCAATGCTGCTGCCGCAAATACTGCTGCCCTTTGATTCATGTTCAGCTGCTCGAACAAGGGGTATGGGTAGCTAAAATGTGTCAGAAAATCGTCCAGCAAGCTATAAAGATGAGAGAACTCACAATCCATTGTACTTATAACAATGCTCCACCCACACCCAGTACAACACCGCTAGCACCGAGCTTAAGCCCATGGCAGGCAGCGCATGTAGCGTCCACGGCGGACTCAAGAACAGCAAATCAATCGTCAGTAGGATCGCCGGCATTGCATGGAATCCCACATCCGCATAGAGACTGATCTCTACCTCGGGCGGAACCACCAGCCTCCTGTCAATCGCAACAAGTCCCCAATACAGAATAGTAATCAGGACCTCCAATGGCGCGCTGCATAGGGCAAGCAGGGGCAATGATGCGCCGCGTTTATGGATCCAGCATACACACTTTGGAGTAAACTCCAAACTCAGCATATAGAGGAGATCGAAAGTCAAAACATCAAAAACCTTGATGCTCTTGTCCGCTCCAGCCGTCGCGAAACTCCTGCCATCTGTGCTCACGGAAACACTCTTGATCTCTCCAACATGTGCCTTGAACTCTTTCACAAACTCGATACCCACTGCCACCTTCTTCCAAAACTTGACCACGCCATCCACCGAGCTCGTGATGAGGAAGTCGGTATAAGGCGTCATGGTAACAAAAGACAACTGCTCTTTGTGCATGAGTGACTTCGAGTATCGTCCCGAGGCAGGGAGAGCAGAGATGTAGAGCTTTTCATACGGAAGCTTGCGGCGTTTCTTCTTGGGGGCTTCCGCAGACGGGAGCTGTGGTCCCATGTCGTCGTCGGACGAGGACTCTGTTACGCGGTTAGAAAGTCTGACAATGAGATGGAGCTGCACATACCATCGTCCTCAGATCGCGCCCGCTTGTTCGACTTCGTCTCCAAATCCTGTTCAGCCATCTTGAGTCGCGTCGAGGATTGTCGAGTTGAGGGAACAGGGAATTCGATACCTCAGGGAGATGAAGTAAGGCTGAAGACAGGCATTTATTTCTACGCTAAATTAGCGCACGGCTGGCTTCCACCTGTACCCAGGTACCGGCTCCGTACCTTGGTAAATCGGGATGTGGGTTCGCAAGGCAGATCAACATCGAATCTCTAAATCTCACTTCACACAACAAACATTTCCTGTCCTTAAATCTCTGTCGTTGAATTTGAGCGGCTGTGCAATTCCACAACAATGCCATCCTCTTCGCAGAAGTTGATGGCTTACCATCCCCTCCAGCGCCTACCCTCTCCGTCCCGCGGAATCTCCGCCGTCTTCCACTTTCTCGGAATCATCTCCTTCTCGCTGTCCTTCAAATACCTCGTCGATTATCCTACCGCGATTAACGACTCTTACGGATGGCACTACCAATACCTGACCATCATTGGTCTCACTATTGCGTTCGGGACATTCATCTTCGGTTTCCTTGCCGACATTACTCTCTCCCCGAAACTCTTCTTGATCAAGAACAGTTTATCCGTCTCAAATGAGGTCAACCACTCGATAGAGATTTATGACGGAAGAGGAGAAAACCAGACGCCTATACACACAATCTCAGGTCTGCATCGAAGTGTGGTATCATTAATGGCATTTAATGATGCTTACGACTGTGTCATTTCGGCGGATGAAAATGGCATGCTTGAATACTGGCGACCTGACAATTATGAGAAGCCTGATAATGTCTTCCAGTACAAGAGCTCCACGAACCTTTTCGAATTTAAGAAGGCTAAATCTGTTCCGACGAGTCTCACGATATCACCGTCTGGTTCTCAATTTGCGACGTTCTCTTTTCCGGACCGGAAAGTTCGTGTTTTTGATTTTCCAACCGGGAAGCTGTACCGAACTTATGACGAGTCTTTACAAACCATTGAAGAGATGCAGCAAGCTGGAACTGCCCTCCAGAAGCTCGAGGACCTTGAATTCGGTCGTCGTCTTGCTACGGAGCGAGAAATCGAAAATCCGGCGATGCAAAACAAGGCTAACGTTATTTTCGACGAGACGGGACATTTTATCATCTATGGATCTATGTTGGGGACGAAGGTGCTGAACACGTATACAAATCGGGTTGTTAAGGTTTACGGAAAGGACGAGAATTTCAGGCCTCTTAATATTGCGATATACCAGGGGCAGCCGCAGAAGAAAGGGGTAACCACAGTCGCGATGGCGGCCTCGAACAATCCCCTTTTACAAGAAGCAGAAGTTCGAGATCCCATTCTCATCACCACTGGAGTTGGCAAAGTTCGATTCTATATGTTCACAAATGATGAGGAGATTTCTAAATCCGAACGAGATATCCACAACGAAAAACCAACAATCCTCAACGCGAAGAAAGCCGTCGAGGCAAAAGCAGCACAGACTGGAACAGCAGCCGTTATCCACACGTCATATGGAGATATCCGTATCCGCCTCTTCCCGGATGCGGCGCCAAAAGCCGTGGAAAACTTCGTTACCCACTCGAAGCAAGGATATTATAACAATACCATCTTTCACCGAGTTATTCGCAAGTTTATGATCCAGTGTGGTGATCCTCTAGGGGATGGGACTGGCGGCGAAAGTATCTGGGGGAAAGAATTCGAGGACGAATTCAGCACCTTGAAGCATGACAAGCCGTACACTGTCAGCATGGCGAACGCGGGGCCCAATACGAATGGAAGTCAATTCTTTATTACGACTGAGAAGGCTGTAAGTTCTTTCCATCGATATTTATTATGGGACGAGACTAACTCTCCGGTAGCCTTGGCTTGACAATAAGCACACCATCTTCGGCAGGGCGATACAAGGGCTGGATGTCATACATAAGATTGAGAACACGAGGGTCTACAAAGAGAAACCCGAGGAAGACATCAAGATCCTCAACATAGAAATCCTGTAAAGCAAACCTGTAATTGATACCCCTGTTCCAACCGAGTTATAGCTAGTCCTTATTTATCAGGCGTCCACGAAACCTTATCGATTAGCGCAATCGCAAGAAGCTGGAGCGCGCTGGAGACTCTTTTTCCACTCCGTCCGAATGAATTGGCGATCGTTCAATGGCCGACCCCACCACCACTGGACATATGTCTCCACGGCTTCAATTGCATCCACGTCTCCCAGCGATATGTTAGTGCAAATAGAGTCTCTGAGCGCCAGGTCTCCAACGCACAAGATTCCTGCGCGGATCGCTAACCCCCACCCATCATTGGTTTTATTCTAGGGCCTGTATATTGGGTGTAGAGAACAGTAGAATCCAGAAACCCCAGCTCTCGATGTCATTATGCCGCGGCCCAAGAAACCTGGAGCTCCAGAGCCCAAGAGGAGGAGTCGAAATGGTTGTTGGTATGCTCTCGTGTTCCTTTGTCGTTTCCCTCAACTTCGTTTCATATGCTAACCTTATCGCAGGCCTTGCAAGACACGCAAAGTGAAGTGCGATGAAACCCGACCAACATGCCTCAACTGCCAGAAACAAGGCGAAACCTGCGACTACAGCATACGGTTGAACTGGGAAGGTAGAGGGAAGAAGCAAGCGGAAGTGTCGGGAGGACCGGGTCAGATAAATTTCTCTGCTGGAATGATAAGTGCTGGGCCGAGCAGACCTATCACCAGGGTCTCAGGAGGAGGTCCCAAAACATCGCCGGTGGGATTTCAGACCTCGCCATTTGGGAGGCAACATCAGTCAGCTGCTGTAGAAATGCAAGGCCAGCCACGGTCTAATCCCGCCTTCGCGAACCAAAGCCCCCAAGAGCAACAGGAAGCCTCGCAATTGCCGCCTCCTCGATCAGTACCCTCCGAGATGTCGACGATTGACCCGGCACTGATGGCTTCACTTGGCTCAACTGCGGCAATGTACAACGATAGTACGTACGGTGGTATGCATGGTCGACTGGAGCCCCAATATAGGCAAAGCTATGAGCGATGCCATTCTCCTACACCAGGCACAATGCCAGTTCACCCACCTGCAGTCCCTAGATTTCGCCAAGCCCGAGCGCTGGAAGATGCGGTTTCGTCTCCCAGTGAAACTGGAATCGGGAGCCCCGCCGCCAGTACCTTGTCTAGCCGGAGTACTGCCTTGCCGAGCTCTGAAAGCTCTGCATCAACACCATCATTCTTTGGCAATGCCAGAGATAATGGTGAGTTTCCCCCGCCGGACATGGTGAACTCCGACAGGCCGCTCAAGCGTGTGCGCTACCAATCTGGTCAAGATGCCAACAGTCCGTCTTATGATCCGACGATGCCGCCTCCGAACATGACATCTTACCTTACTACGTATAATATCGAGTCTCAAGCCTCCAGTGTTATATTGGCAGCTCCAAATTCAGCCGGCACTCCTTTGACTCCAGCGTCGAGCCACAGTGATGATGCATTGAGAGATTCCTATAAGGTGTATCCGGCGAGACTCTCACCACCTCCTACGCATGACTCTCCCGACCCCCGCCGCCTGTCAGTCAGTTCACTACTATCTGCTCCACCAGGCATGTCTTACCAGAATGACCGGACGTTTGGTGGCGGAAACCGGGGCGCTCAGGATTGGTCCCACCAATCTCACGATATATATCAGGATACAACTACTTATGGCATCGATAGAGGATTTAAGGACCTCGATATTGGCAAGAATGATGATATGAATGCAATCTCCGGATCCTCACCTGTTTCTACAAGGGCCCACCTTGACCTTGTTTTGGGTGCGGATGGTGAATTCCTGCCAATGGAATTTGGATTCGGTATGGAAGAAAGCAGCACTGCTTTGGAAAATGGAGCTTACTACGACAAGCCCGTTCCTGTCTGCATTCCTCGAGCGCTCGAGCCTTTGCCGAGCAAGCTTTTGGAGAATCCTATGAATTTATTGGTAAGTGCGAAACTTTGTTATTGGAAACAATTAGCTAACATACTAGAAGTATTTTGTAAGCCTCATATATATGGGTAATATAACTTGAGTGAGACTGATTATTCTAGCATCATTTCATCAACCATACTGCGGACTGTCTAATTCCACATAACTGTTCTTCCAATCCTTTCAAGAGCACCCTGCCCCAAATGGCCGTGCAAGATGACAATCTGCTTAACCTTCTGCTCGCCTACTCCGCTTCTCATAGGGCTCGTCTGCTGCGACAACCAGAGCCGGCTACCCGGATCGCATTGTGGGTGCAGGATATCTTTCCGAATCTTCGACGCGCTCTTGATCATCCAAGTGAAATCATATCCAACGCAAATCTGGCGACAGCTATTATGCTTGCTTCTCTCGAAATAATTTCTCCAAAAGCCTTTGGCGTTTCGGTCCCTTGGCAAATCCATTTGGATACCGCTCGGCAAATGATAGCAGCTAGAGGTGGTCCACAACGAATGAAGACTGCGTCTCGCGGCGACAAGGTTTCTTCTTTTCTATGGAGCTGGTTCGCTTATCTCGATGTTCTAGGAAGTTTGAGTGGTGGAAAAGCCAACGCTTCTTCATCTACCTGGATTCTTGACTACGAAATAGACGAAGAGGATGACTACCAGATCGACTGTATTCTCGGTTTCACTAGTCGCTGTATTAGGATCCTCGCAAAAATCGCGGAGCTTTCCAGAATATGCGATAGTGAGCGTATTGGACCCGACCATTCAATTCGAGCAGATTGGCAGCCTTCGGATGACGTCGTGGCCCGAGCTGGAAAACTCGAATCTGATCTCGCTGCTTCCCGTCTGCATCCTGCAAAACCATGCACGCATATGCAATCCACCGGAGAAGCGGCATATCAATGGGATAGTCTCGAAATGGCAGCTACCAACGAAGCCTTCCACTGGGGCGGTCTTGTTCATCTCCATCGACGAATTCTTGGGAAGCCTTCCACACATAATGACGTTCAGACCGCTGTTCGCGAAATATTCGGCGCGCTGTATAAAGTCAGGAGAGGCAGTAGTGCGGAAGCTTGCCTTCTCTTCCCAATGTTCACTGCCGGTTGCGATACTCAAGACGAGAGACAAAGGGCTGACATACTGGAGAGGATCAAAGGCGTGGAACGTTTCGGTATGACCCAAGTTCACAAAGCTCGCACTTTGATGGAGCGAGTTTGGGAGACGGGAAAACCGTGGGAGACTCTCATGGCTGGCGAGTTCTTTGGATAGATTCTCCACCAGATTTATTGATATCATCTTTTTTGTGAGTTGATCTGAAGCATTGCGAGGCTCCATTTCTCGATCCGCTTTTCGACCAGCGTCATCTGTCCCGCAGGGGATCAGGGATCAATCACTGAAACGGCTCGAAAGGACCATGAAAGTCGGCCCGGGCTCTAAGGAATGCCCACCGGGAGGTGAATAGTTGGATATGATGGGCCCGATGTCCGAGAAAGCTCTACCATCCTAACCAGAGTCAAGGAATGGTGTCGACTCGGTGATGTCGTCCTGGGCATGACTTTAAAAGGCCTTGGGTACCGTGGACCTTTCAATGAGATATTTGTGGAATAAGAACGGTATGCGGAACCTTTCTGTATACCCGGACGGCAGTAGTCCATAATGCCAGTATAGCAGATGGTGTGTTTTGGGCTCAGGCTCACTTACCAAGGCCACGTGAGCTCACTGCCTTTATGGATACGGAGACTGCCGGTACCGCCATGGCGGGATCTTTTCTGAAGGAGATAAGCGTGATAGTAAGCATAGCATCGCAAGCTATGACTTTGCTCCGAAGCCAGCATCGGGGACTCGGCCCCGGAAGATCCTGGATACACGATACGTATCTAGAACGTCTTGGTGAGAACGCCACGTTTTTGGCGGCGAGTTGGGATGGTCACGTCTTCCTTGAGAGTAGCCAGCTACTCTCGAAGCTTGCGCCACTTAATCAATATGTTTGAAGGGTCTTCACGGACGGGAAAGGAGGGGCACCGGCTACGATCCAGTTGGGTGGGACTGGAGGCTTGGCGCTTTGCCCCTGGGCCAGAGACATTGAGCTATCGTTGGAGGGCGGAGCTTACAATTGTCTGTCATACCAGGTGGAGATGCACATTTGCAAGATCACCTGTTGGCATTGTTGATGGACAAACGGATCTACTAGCCTCGAGGATGAGCCGGCTGCATTCATCAGAGCCGTTCGAAGATCTGAGATTTGATGGTTCCAAACCAGGACCAAGGTTTCTAAGAGATGGATGAATGACCTCTACGGCGCACCTAGACATCGCCGAGTTAATGAGTTGAGTCGAGCTGGTGCAGGCCTCAAGATGTATAGAATATCAGTCCGGATGGGCTCTCAGGACCGCGGATGACATGTCGCAAGAAGCATTCCCTCGGATCCAACTAAGTGAAAGGTCGTCCAGGGAATAGCGCACATTGGATAGAAGGTGGTAGATCAACTGGTGCTCGTTTGGTCAACATTTGCATTTAGCAGTCAGGGGTGCGGTGGTTGTCTTGGCGGTGCGAGCTCGCCCGCCCATCCCACCCCCCATAGTCAGGCAACGAGGGGCTCCGGGTTCCGTGTTGTGGGAGAGTTTATCGCGCATGGGAAGGCCAGCCTTTGTAAGATAGATGATTCATGAAGCAACGATCCGGCTTTTGCCCGTCAACTCTTAGTTTCCCTGCAGTGAATGACTTCGTGATACAACCGTCTGAATCCACATGTCCTGTAAATGCAGTAGCTATAATGGATAATTGGACGGGTTTGATATATTCCAGGGATATTTACATTTAGATACATAACGGAGAGGTTTATAGTTTAGCTTTCTCGGCCTTCTTCTCCTCAGCCAACGCCCGCTCCTTCAACAACCGTCTTAGGATCTTCCCACTCGCGCTCTTTGGAATCTCATCCACGAACTTGACGCCTCCTCTTAATCTCTTGTGACTCGCGACCTTAGCCGCCAACCAATCCATAATCTGCTTCTCCGTCTCCTTGGTCGCCTGCACGCCTTTCTTGGGCACCACGTACGCGCGCGGCACCTCGGTCGCCTGCTCCTTGTTGTAGATGCCGATGACGGCTACGTCGTCGATGTTGTCGTGCGCGGCGAGGAGGCCCTCGAGCTCGGCAGGCGGCACCTGGAAACCTTTGTACTTGATGAGTTCCTTGACGCGGTCCGTGATGTAGAAGTTGCCGTGCTCGTCCTGGTGGCCGACGTCGCCCGTCTTGAAGTAGCCGTCCTCGGTCTTGGCGTTGCGCGTGCCTTCGGGGTTGTTCAGGTAGCCTTGGAACACGTTGGGGCCCTTGATCCAGAGCTCTCCGGTCTGTCCGGCCGGCACTTCCGTCTCGTCCGCGGACATGTATTTCGCGGTCTGGTTGGGGAGCAGCCGGCCCACGGAGCCGATGGTCTTGTTCCAGTCTTCCCAGGGCTGCGTGTGTGTCGTGGGGCTGGTTTCGCTGAGGCCGTAGCCTTGCTTGATGGGGATCTTTAGACGCTTGTAGACGGCGTCGACGAGGTCACGCGTCAGGGGCGCGGCGCCGGAGTTCAGCATCCGGACGGAGGATAGGTCGTACTTGTCTATCAGTGGGGATTTGCCCAGCATGAGCACGACGGGTGGGACGACGTAGGCGAAGGTGATGCGGTGGGTTTGAATGTGTCGGCAGAAGGATTCGAGATCGAACTTGGGCATTACGACCAGTTCAAAACCAGAGTACATGCTTTGGTGGATTAGACATGTTAGGCCCTGTTGATCACAATCAGTCATTGGCTACTTCTGAGCAATCGGGGGGAGGGGTCAGTACGTAGATGTGATAGAAGGGCAGGAAAGCAAGAATCTTATCACCCCTTCCATCCTTGCCACCCTTCCAACTCAGGTTTCCACCCTCGGCCACTTTGATCATCAATGTATTCGCAACAATATTCTCATGGCTAAGCATAACACCCTTGGGATGGCCCGTCGTTCCAGAGCTGTAGACCAAGAATGCGAGGTCTTTCTTCGGATCCACCTTAGTCCTCCTGTATCTCGCCGTCCCAGCAAGGTTTTTTAAACTGGTAAAGTGCTTGAATCTCGCTGTCTCATCCCTCTGATCTCCTATAAGAATAATTCTCTCTTCTGGTATGCCCACCTTCGCTGCAGCTTCGCATGCGGATTTCAGAAAGGGCTTTTGCGTAACCAAAGCCTTGGCCCCTGAATCTTTGAGCTGGAATGCGAGCTCATCAGGAGTGTAGCCCGGATTCGCGGGGGAGAGAATGCCGCCGGCCCAGTGAGTCCCCCATGTGATGGCAGGCGTGTCAATGCAGTTAGGGGTATAGAGAGCGAGGACATCGCCGCGTTTCCACTCCCATTGAGACTTCAGACCCTTTCCAAACTCAATGGCAGTGCTACGGACTTGAGCGTAGGTGTAAGAGCGGGTGGTATCAGGATCAGTGTAGATTACTATCGTGCCATCCCTCGATTAGCTTTCTGTGAGTTTGGGAGAGCCGGGAGAGTTACCTTTATCATCCGGAAACTGCTTATCCTTGCGTTCAAACAGAAACTCCCAAAGATCAACATTTGGGATCTCTATCTTGGGGTATGTAGATTCAGTAGGCATCTCGCGGGGTTTACAGGTGCGGGGAATGAGGGGATCGCCAAGTCCTCGAAGCCAGAAGCGCAGTCGTCACAATTATTGGTGTACTGTATATGCAACTGCGAGATCTAGTGTTGTGCTGTTGAAGAGAGACAAAAATCTGCAATCCTTTCTTTACAAGCGGCCGAGTTGTAGATAAAGCTCAAACCTCCGCGCTCCCACCGCCCCACTTGGAGATTCGAATTACCGTTCTAGCGTGCATCGGAAATGCCGGACCGAGGCAGGCAATACTCCTGATGGAAAACGGTTGCGGGGTTAAGCGAAGAAGGAATCCGGGGTCAGGGGAAAGGGGGAAGGGGAGAGGGAGACTATAAAGATCAAGAAGATATTGTTGGAATCGGTGAGAGACGGGGAGTACTGTGACAAAGCTATTCAGAAGTACAGAAAAGCCAGCAGCTAACTATACAAAACAGCGCGTCCCAACCAGCCTCGAGAAGCTGCTGCAAACCAGCCGAACCGCATCTCCAACCAGCATGAACCCAGACACCGCAATCTGTCAAGCATTACCTACAAAGCGGGTAAGCCCCAGGAGCGCTAAAACGGAGAGAAGAAATCCAAAGGAAAGCACTCAACCTCCTCCGACAAAACTCAACACCACCCTCTCTCTCCTCCCATTCCTTCCTTTGTCTCATCCCACATATCCACAATCGTATGCTTCTTCTTCTCACTCCTGACCCTCAATTCAGAGGGAGCCCAATCTGGTTTGGAAATCAGTAAACTACTGTACTCCAGGTCCTTGACCGGCAGCTCTTTCCCATCCTCCCCAGTCTTCTAAAACGAAGCACCAGGCCATGGCAACACATACCATGAGGAGTTCATGGATGACATTGTCGAAGTCCATACAGACTCGGCGGCCAAAACAAACTGTGAATGAACCTCAAGACTAGGGTATTTGGTGAGGGGTTCGCGGTACGTGGGGTAGTTGGATGATAGCCAAACGCTCGGGACTGAAAGCGTCGGCCAGGGTAGAAGGCGGGGTCACGGGTTATACCCTTGGAAAAAGGTAAGATTTGTGTTTAAGACGAGTAAGGAAATGCGCAGAATATGCTTCAAGACAAGAAATACGGTGTGTGTAACAAAATGCAAGTAGCGAGATGCAAAATTGAGAGATATCCGCGTGGAAAGAGTAAAATCCAAATAGTACTGAAGGGCTTACCACTATGCACTGTAGATCCGGGGAGATGGAGTATCCTTTGTACACACAGTCTTTCGTGGAGGCGTGGGGAATTTCTAATGCTCGGCTGATGGACCTGTAAGTTTGGGTTCTGACTCGGGGAGATGAACCAGTGGGAACAACTCACCACCTCCTTGACGATCGCCCTCAGAACAGGCAGATTCTCCATGTCTTTCATTTGAACCTATCTCCACATACTGTATCAAGCTCTTCCTGCAGTCTTTCCAACCAACTAGGAAACAAGATCATGGCCACAACAAAGCTCATCATTGGAGTAGCTAGAGTCAAAGCTCCTGCAACAGCCATCATCCCAACTTGAATTGCAAATTCAGGGTCATCAACACGGGACTTTTCTTGAAACTCGAAGAACATGTGCATGCATGAGGGTCTGTCCGTGCCAGCAAGTCATTCTCTACGGAGTCTATTCAGCTGGGCCATGGAAAAGGTTCGCTTCTCCTGATACCGCATCTTCTCGTATTTCTTCCAGTGGGAAAGACCCTTGGGCAGTGCTGCGAGAAGTGAGATTACGTTGGGCAAAGCACCGGATGGAGAATTGACTTTGAGAAGGCCCATGGTGACGCGCTGTAGAGTTGGTGCGTCACCAGGGAAGCCCCATGCAAGACGTGAGATATTGCGGCGGGAGTGATCTTCAAGGAGACTTCGGTATGACGAATATGAGGTCAGCAGCCATAGACAAGGTGCTTTGCTTCGATGACTTGATAGTGGAATTCTGAGTTTCGCGCTCCTCCAGTCATGAGATGCGTCCCAAATTTACGCTGCCGTACCCATATTTCTGAACAGTCATTGTTAATATGTTTTCTGAAACCTGGGCAACGCATGTCATACCAATTTCCCCCAACAATGGCAGGGACTTCCCCCCAGTCTTGTTAATCGGAAGATCGTCTATCACTGGCCGATCGGAAAAGATGTTCCCCCGTCTTGACTCTTGAGAGTAAGTCTTTTGCAACACCCTCAGAAGATATCCAGACACGTGTCATCCCGAACATCTCCTGCCTGTGACTAGGGTCCAAATTCTTTGGACCATCCGTAGAAATGCAGCCATGTTGTTTCTGTTGGAATATCACGCACTCGACCGACAATTGGAAGACCTGTAGCTTCAGTGAGAAACAGTAACAGAAATAGAGACAATCATTCCCTACTCCATGGCCCTGGCAGCTTCCGAACCCCCCCGGCTGACATTCGACGATAAGGGTCTCCCCGCGAGCTGTACAGTCCAAACACGCAGAGAAAGAGTGCGGGCAGAAGGAGCCACACGGAGTCCATCATTACCAATCGACATTCGCACTGAGAAATATATTCCCAGCTAGATGATAGACCAGTTGGAACGGAGGACAAACAATTATAAATGGTCGCAGATGAGAATGCACATCCGATCCAAGTATACTGCACATGGCGAATCGGACATGAGGCATGCTGAGGCTTCGGTCACTGCCTTGAGCAACATTGGTATCTACATTTTCGAACGTGGATGTTGTTCAACGTGACTTCCGTGAGAACTGTCCAACGTGAGAGCTATCCAACGTGAGAGCTGTTCAGCACTAGACACGACAATCATCAGGATTCTGCACCAGCCAGCCACACTCCAGTGGCTGGGCTTACTCCCAGCCATCGTATATTCCATACGAGCCTTGGCCCTCAAAGGGATTACATTGCTGGTGGCAAAGGGCAAAGCGACATACGAGAGCAAGTGTCTGTTGCCAGTCATTATTGTATGATTGTACAAGGCTTGTCCGGAGCTGACAGGTTTCGCAACGACTCAACATATGAGCAAAGAGAGTCGAAGAACAGCTCATAGGATTTGCCAAAAGGAGAGAAGCTCCAGCCCACTTGCTGCTTTGGGCGCCAGTGACATGCATTATTGCCTTTGAGTTTAAACGGCGTCTCCAACGAAGGATAGCGGACAAAGGATTTGCGGCGCCCGGAGTCCGTCTGAGGCTATTCATAACTATTAAGTTCGCGAGGCCTCTTAGTGAGCGGACGTCCGTTGACCAACCGCGCTGGATTCGGCATGGCGCGCTCCGTTGCGGCATAGCGTGATTCAGAGCAGTCTCGCCAATTTCAACGACGCACCATGAGTAACGGCCAACCTCCATCTAAGCACAGATTATTGAGTCGATTATTGACACACCGTGCCAGGCGGTAGTACCGCTGCAGGCCGGACATGCAAAGGCGCCCTTATCGTGTTCCAAAGGATCAGTCGTCCCGCACGGCACAGTCAGGTCCCCGAGGCCAGTGGCCCTGGGCTGGACCCCGTCTCAGGGCTCAAAGCATGGCGGGCGACCTTGTGGTCAGATCCCGTGTTTGGTCCTCGTACGGGCTACCACGTTGCATATGCAGTAATAATAGCCTTTTGCCAGGTGGTGCCGCAAGAAGCCTTGCGCTGGAGATCAGGACACAGGACTATTTCTTATCTTTCTACGATGCGTAGTCCGTCATGTGCTCCGGAATCTGCACTTCCTTGTTTCTCAGGACAATTCGTAATCATTATTTCAGCAAGTGCCGTATCCACCCCGTATTTCTAGAAGAGCTGGGGCATTGACAATTACCATGGCAACGGTCCAAATACACTAGCGCCTTGTGGACTCTGGCCCACTGTTACCCGCGACGAAGCTCGGGAAGGGAACGCCCATGCTCTAAAGCCTTGCAAGTTTATTGATTTTATGTTGTTTAAATTTAGAGATATAGGGAAAAACTGCATCACAAAGAATTACCCTCTTGATTAATCCGAGTAATGTAACTTTTTCGGCATACAGACGTTGTGATTCTCTTGTAGATGCGAGCTTATCGGCATGAAATCGATTACCAGTACATGGCCGGAGAATCGCGTTGTGGCGGGTGGCCTGCCGGACAGTCATTGCTTTTCCTCACCCCAGCAGCAGGCAACTCAACTGCCCATTCTGCTCTGATTTTCGAGAACCTCAGCTCTCCTCGGACTTCACTTCAAGTGTAGCATGTCATTCTTCGGATACCTTGGCAGGTCCACTCCTGTCCGGAGGCCCCGGTTGGGCTGCCGTGACGTCGAAAGGGGACTGGTTCCACCACCGGCATTAAGGATTAGAAAATAAACACTCCCTTATCACGTTCTAGCCATTACATTTCGCCGAATGTGGTACCACCATCGTTCAACAGCTGTTATTGAGAAGCCCGCTCCGTATGTTACTTTTGTCTCATGCTCCTTATAACTCGACGAAGCCCAGTATACCCATTCCCAAGTCTTTGGGCCAGGCTGCAAGAATGGCTGACCAGATGTCCTTCCTCGTGTTTGGAGATCAGTCATTGAACATCCATGAGTGCTTGGTTGATTTCCTCAGTCGCGGAGATCATGGCATTCTTTCCAAGGCATTCTTGGAGCGCACCAACTCGGCGCTTCAAGAAGAAGTTGATCGCCTATCCAACATCGACCGCCGAAGGATACCTACCTTTAATTCAATCCAACAGTTGAACGAGCGCTATCATGTTCAAGCGCAAAAGAACGCGGCTTTGGACAGTGCCCTACTATGCATTGCCCAGTTGGCGCTTTACATCGAGTGAGTTCCTGCGAGTTTTGGTGGTTATTGAGAATGTTGACTGATATTGTGAATTAAGGCGCGAAGAGGCATCACATGATGGCATCACGAGGTCCCAGGATAGCCATCTCGTTGGTCTATGTACTGGCCTCTTTGCAGCAACTGCCATCACAAGTGCGCCTTCTCTGTCGATGTTGATACCGATCGCTGTGGAGATGGTCCTGGTCGCATTCCGAGTGGGCCTTTATGTCAACACCATGGCGGAAAACATCGAAAGCATGGGCGAGATAGCACAAAGTTGGACCTATGTTATTCCTGAGATCGATGAGGCGAGGGCAGGAGAGATTTTGACAAAATTCCATGAATCCAATGTACGATATTGTTGTTGCCTTTGCCTGTTGAACGACCGCTGACACTTGAACAGGGGTACTCAGATTCACCAGCCATGCGAGCCTACATAAGCGCCGTCAATTCGAATAGCATCGCGATCAGTGGCGCACCTTCGACACTCAAAGCTCTCTTACAACAGGAGAAGTTTGAGAAAGCACCCGTCCCACTTTCTATCCGTGGTCCATACCACGCATCACATCTACACTCCGACGCTGATCTTGAGAAGATACTGCGTCTCAAAACCTCCTCCTTATGCCGGAAGCTCAGCGAGACCACTCCAAAACTCCCTGTGATGTCGTGCGTTACCGGGTCATTTTACAACAAGGATCAGGATTGCAAGGAACTGCTACTGTCAGTGGTGCGCGAGATACTCACAGAACCGCTTCAATTCCAGAAGATTTTGCAAGGGTGCGTTGAGAAAGCTCAAAGTTACCGAGGATCGAAGTGCGAGGTCATTCCATTTGGGCCAACTCATGCTGCGCAAAGCCTGTCCAATGCCTTGAATGCCCAAACGAGTCTCGAGGTCATTTTACGCCGATGCCCATCCAAGAAGCGCGAGGCAAACCGTGCCGATAACAACGGACCCGCTGGCCGTGAGAAACTTGCTATCGTTGGAATGGCTGGCAGATTCCCCGATGCCGCCAGTCATGAGAAGCTATGGGAGCTACTTGAGCAGGGATTGGCGGTCCACCGGGAGGTCCCACCAGACCGATTTGATGTGAAGACACATGTCGACCCGACCGGAAAAGCCAGGAATACCAGCCATACACCATATGGGTGTTGGATTGAGAATCCGGGTCTTTTTGATCCAAGGTTCTTCAACATGTCTCCCCGAGAGGCTTTCCAGACGGATCCCATGCAGAGACTCGCGCTCGCAACTGCCTATGAGGCACTCGAAATGTCTGGCTATGTCCCTAACAGGACTCGATCTACGAAGTTGGATCGTATTGGAACCTTTTATGGCCAGACCAGTGATGATTGGCGAGAGATCAATGCTGCTCAGGAGGTCGATACCTACTTCATCACTGGAGGTGTGAGAGCATTTGGACCGGGTCGCATCAATTACCACTTCGGCTTTAGCGGGCCGTCCTTTAATATTGACACGGCTTGCTCCTCAAGCGCTGCAGCGATTCAATTGGCGTGCACGTCGCTATGGGCCAAAGACTGTGATACTGCCGTTGTCGGTGGTCTGTCTTGCATGACGAACTCCGATATTTTTGCTGGCTTGAGTCGAGGACAATTTTTGTCAAAGAAAGGCCCGTGTGCAACGTTCGATAACGAGGCCGACGGCTATTGCAGAGCCGATGCCTGTGCAACTGTCATCATCAAACGACTTGACGATGCCATCGCTGACAAGGACAATGTCCTGGGCGTTATATTAGGCACGGCGACCAACCACTCTGCAGATGCTATTTCAATTACCCATCCCCATGGTCCAACACAAGAAATGCTCTACAAAGGCATTCTCAGCAAAGCAGGAGTCGACCCTCGCGAAATTGATTACGTTGAGATGCACGGGACTGGTACACAAGCAGGCGATGGCACTGAGATGCGCTCTGTCACCAATGTCTTTGCTCCTTCAGATCCGGCTCGCAGGAGAACTGCTGACCAACCATTGTTCCTCGGGGCTGTGAAAGCCAATGTTGGGCATGGTGAGGCCGCATCCGGTGTTACCGCACTTATAAAGTGCTTGATGATGATGCAGAAGAATGCCATTCCACCACACGTCGGCATCAAGGGTACCATCAACCAGACTTTCCCAAAAGATTTGGACGAGAGAAACGTCCATATCGCATTCCACAAAACTCCGTTCCAGAGCAAGAACGGTCGTAGTCGTCGGATCTATGTCAGCAACTTCAGCGCTGCCGGCGGCAACACTGGGTTACTCCTAGAAGATGGCCCTACTCACACACCATCGCAGGTCGATCCTCGCTCTATGCACGTAGTCGCAGTTACGGCGAAGTCGAAGTCGTCATTGCTCAAGAACATCGAAAACATCAATCGCTATCTTGAGAACAACCCGACGACATCCGTTGCAGACTTGGCTTACACGACGACGGCTCGCCGCATTCACTATAACTGGCGAGTATCAGTAACTGGATCTGATATCACTCAAATCCAAGCTGAACTTATGGCAAAGCTCCATGGTGAAAACCTAGCGCCCGTTCTTTCTACCCCACCTAAGATCGTTTTCCTGTTCACCGGCCAGGGATCACACTATGCCGCCCTTGGCAAAGAGCTGTACGAGAATTCGAGTGTGTTCAAAGACAGCATTCGAGAGTACGAAAAGATTGCCCTGATTCACGGGTTCCCAAGCTTTGTTCCCCTGATCGATGGTAGCGAGATGGATGTCGATAAACTCTCCCCTGTGGTCGTCCAACTTGGCCTCGTTTGTTTTGAGATGGCTTTGGCTAGACTCTGGGCATCATGGGGTATTACACCAAATGCTGTAGTCGGACACAGTCTGGGAGAGTATGCTGCTCTCAATGTTGCTGGTGTCCTGTCTGCAAGTGACACTATCTACTTGGTTGGGAAGAGGGCCCAACTATTGGTCGACAACTGCCCCGCTGGCACCCACGCCATGCTCGCGGTTCAAGAGTCGGCCAAGGTTCTCTCAGAGATCTTGAGCGGCAATGAAGATCTGTGCGTATCGTGCCTCAATGGGTCCCGGGAGACCGTCCTTGGCGGTACGGCCGAGGCTATCTCGAACGTCGCAGGGCAGCTGGGCAAGCTGGGCTTGAAGTGCACGCAGCTCAAAGTGCCGTTTGCGTTCCATTCTGCTCAAGTTGACCCGATCCTTGATGAATTTGAGCGCCTTGCGAGCTCTGTTCGCTTTTCCAAGGAGCAGGTGCCTGTTATCTCATCTCTTCAGGGGAAGGTTCTCACCGAGCCCATTGACGCTGCGTACCTCCGCAAGCATGCAAGAGACCCTGTCAACTTCATCGGTGGAATGATATCGGCCCAGACTGGTGGACTGATTGATGAAAAGACTGTGTGGCTCGAAGTCGGACCCCATCCGGTGTGCTTCGGGATGGTGAAGACTACGTTCGGTGCCGCAACCACTGGTGGACCCACACTTCGAAGAGGTGAGAGTGCATACAAGACCCTTAGTCGCACTTTGAGCACCCTTCACACAGCCGGAATGGGAATCGACTGGAACGAATACCACAGAGATTTCGATTCCGCGCTTCGACTTCTGGATCTTCCAGCTTACGCCTTCGACAACAAGAATTACTGGATCCAGTACGAAGGCGATTGGTGCCTCACCAAAGGCAAGCCTGCAGCAATCATGCCCGCACCCACTCAAGCGGCTTCGAAGTTATCTACATCCTCAGTACAGAAGATCACAAGCGAGCTTGTGAATGGTGATGAAGTTACCGTTTCGATAGAGTCCGATATGTCTGAGCCAGCCCTTCGAGGTGTGGTATCGGGGCATCTCGTCAATGGTGCAATGCTTTGTCCTTCGTCACTGTACGCCGACATGGCAATGACAGTCTGCGACTATGCCTACAAATTGGCTCGACCAGACGCCAAGAATGTCGCCATGAACGTTTCACACATGCAAGTCCCCAAGAGTTTGATAGCGAGGGCCGATGGAAAGTCCCAAATATTGAGATTGACTGCCAAGCTCAACGCCGCAAAAGGTCGCGCGGATCTCGTCTTCTCCAGTGGTGAAGGCAACTCCCTGGTTGAACATGCCACTTGTCAAGTTACCTTTGGCAACACTGAGAAATGTCTCTCCGACTGGGCACGATACGCGTACCTCATCCAATCTAGAATCGATTGGCTTCATGAAGCCGAGGATCAAGGCAAAGCACACAAGATTGGCCGTGGCCTAGCATACAAGCTGTTCGCTGCCCTGGTCGACTATGATAAGAAATACAGGGGCATGGAGGAAGTCATTCTCCACAGTGAGAGCATGGAAGCTACTGCCCGTGTAGTCTTCCAAACGACCGAGAAAGATGGAAGCTTCTTCTGTAGTCCTTACTGGATCGACAGTGTTGCCCACATCTCCGGGTTCATTGTCAACGGCTCTGATGCGGTCAACTCGAAGGAGAGCGTCTACATCTCTCATGGATGGGAATCTCTCCAAGTCGCTGAACCATTTACGGCGGACAAGACCTACCGGTCGTACGTCAAGATGCAGTCCCAGCCGGGCAAAATCATGGCAGGAGACGTGTATGTATTCGATGGCGACAAGATTGTCGCATGTGTTGGAGGCTTGAAGTTCCAGTGCATCCCAAGAAAGGTACTCAATACCCTTCTTCCTCCTCCTGGCATGGCTTCCAGTCGCCCTGCTCCACAGCCTACCCCGGCACCAAAGAAGGTTCAAATGACCAGGAGCTCCTCGCCGCAAGTCACCATGGAAACCATTGGAACTGTCAACCAGAAACTTGCTTCCGTCACTTCGCGGGCTCTGGACATTCTCGCTTCTGAAATTGGGGTTGGGATCGAAGAACTGGTCGACAACGTCGCCTTCTCGGATCTTGGTGTAGACTCACTTATGTCGCTCAGTGTCAGTGGAAGACTGCGTGATGAGTTGGAGATTGATGTCCATTCATCAGACTTCCATAACGAACAAACTATTGGAGAGTTCAAGAAGGTTCTGTCGAAGTTCGAGAGGAACTCCCCGGCAATTTTGAATGCGAGCCACAGGTCAAGCACCGAGTCCTCCCTCTCTGAGTTGGAACGTCGCCGTGCTAGCACCAGCACCACCACATACTCTCCAAACAGCGACACGGCCACCGATGAAGATGATGAGTCGAAGGCTACCACCCCTCTCGATGACAGTGGATCAGAGCGTGGCAAAGAGAATGATGTGACGGAAATAATCCGAACCACAATTGCCGAAGAAATGGGCTTCGAGCTTCACGAGATTACGGATACGGCCGATCTGGTATCCCTTGGACTGGACTCGCTCATGAGCCTTTCCATCCTTGGTGCCATTCGCGAGAAGACTGGGCTTTCGCTACCCGCTGATCTCCTGACCGTGAACAAAACAATCCGAGAGATCGAACGATCTATGGGCTTTGACTCCAAACCCAAGCCCAAGTCCAAGCCAGCTCTCGCTCGAAATGAGTCCGAGACCAGCATTATAAAGCCGACCAGATCCGCGACCTCTGTTCTGCTGCAGGGAAATTCTCGCCTTGCCACCAAACATGTGTGGATGATCCCTGATGGAGGTGGATCTGCCACGTCCTATGTCGATATCCCTGACTTGTCACCTGAAGTCGCAGTATGGGGTCTTAACTCCCCGTTCATGAAGGTGCCAGAAGAGTACAACATTGGAGTGGTTGGAATGGCTGAGCGTTTTATCACGGAGATCAAAAGGCGTCAACCTACCGGTCCATACATCCTGGCAGGCTGGAGTGCGGGAGGCGTAATCGCGTTCGAGGCTGTCAATCAACTCACCAAGATGTCAGAGGAGGTTGAGCAACTCATTCTCATTGATTCACCATGCCCCGATATCATTGAGCCGCTACCTTCCTCCCTTCATCGTTGGTTTGCCTCAATCGGATTGTTGGGTGATGGAGATATGTCTAAGCTTCCAGCATGGCTTTTGCCTCATTTCGCTGCATCGGTCAACGCGCTATCAACATACACCCCAGAGAAGATTGACCCTGCTAAATGCCCTGTTGTTACGGCCATCTGGTGCGAAGATGGAGTCTGTCACCTCCCCACAGACCCACGACCTGACCCCTTCCCCTACGGCCATGCCCAATTCCTTCTCGATAATAGGACCGACTTTGGTCCCAACCTGTGGGATAACTATCTGAGCATTGACAAGTTCTCTTGTCACCATATGCCAGGGAACCATTTCACTGTAAGTTCCTTAAAATCATTCTACTATAAATCGGACAACTTGCTGACTTTCGCGTTCCAGATGATGAAAGGCGACAAGGTCAGTTCCATCTTACTCTCCGGCAGCGTTTGCAAAGTCCTTCAGAATACCAATCCCACCTGCCTTCTATTTTCCTCCTCCGTAATGATTAAAAGCTGACTGTTCCATAGGCCAAGATGTTGGGTTCGATCATGCGTCAAGCTGTTACAAAGAGCATGTAATGTTGGGGAGCGAAGACATATTTGTTGGTGGCGTCTATTTTAATTCTTATTTTCTCTTCCTTTCCTGGATCCCTCGGATCCGCTCTATGGCGAACGACGGTTTTATCTGGTCAGGCACGAATGTTCTGTTCTGTTCTATATAATGTCCATGTAACGCGAATATGATAGCCACACGGCTCAATTCACTCTACGGAGTACCCAAATCACACGCTCCAGTAAAGGCAGTCCCATTACCAAAGTGCAAAGAAGCTAGCTTAAAATATGTTGAGACGAGTATCTGATCATTATGGTCTGTCTGAAAGCTTGCGTGGCGTGGAATGTTGCGCAGCTAAGACCCGCAAGTGCCACTCCGTGCAACCAAGTGGTCATACAGATCTCAGCTGATTTCGATAGCCTTGTAACCTTGGTTGCAATCGTGTTCATTCCTCACCCCCCCCC